GGCCCCCCGAAGGGCCCCTCCTTTTCTAGGGCCCCCCGAAGGAGCCCTCCTTTTCTAGGGCCCCCCCCCCGAAAGGGCCCCCGTTTCTTCCCCCTTAGTAGGCATGCACGGTCCCTGTTGATCCCTAGGGGCCCCTCCTACGGCCTCTATTGGGCCCATAACGGCCTCTGTGGGCGCGTAAGGGCCCCCTAAGGGGCCCCCTATAGGGCCTCCTGAATGGCCCCCGTTTTCTTGTGGGGCCCTCTGTTGGGGCCCCTTATAAAAGGGCGCTTAGGGCCCCCACCTCCTTTGTGGGGCCCTCTCCGTCCCCTTTATAGGGCCCCTGGGGGTCCCCCCTTTGGGGTCCCCGCCTGTGGGGCCCTGGGTGTGTGTCCCCTTTTATGAGGGCCTCAAGGGGCCCTCTATGGGGGCCCCTAGAGGCCTCCTACAGAGGGTACATACACCTGTAGATTATAGTTCGTCATCGGGCATAAGGAAGAGTCTCCTTGTCTCTCCTGCTGCCTCAACAGCAGCAGCAGAGAGAGCAGCAAACTCTTCCTTAGGGTCCCTAGGGATACAGTAGGGGGCCCCCCTCTTAGGGTAAAAAGGAGACAGGGGTATAACTGCCTCTGCCTCTGCTTCTAATAGCCAAGGAAGGGCCCCCGTTAGGGTACTAGCAGTATTATTATTACTACTAGTAGGAGAGGGGGCCCCCGTTACGCCCCCACTTGCATCTAAGGGGGCCCCCTTTTCCTGGTTATTTATAGTGTCTCCTTTTGTTTCTTGTGTCTCCTCTTTGTCTCCTTTTGTTAATAATACTTCCCCTAATGGTGTTGCATGCAGCAGCGCAACAGCAGCACCTGCATGCAGTGCAGCTAGGGCTTCAACAAGAGACAATAAGAGTACCTTACCCCCTAATAGTACCCCTTTACCCTCCCAGTACCCTGATGGGGGCCCCCCTATACAACCATCTGTATTACTGCCTACTACACGGGGCCCCCAATTACCCTCTCCTGCTGCTGCTCCTCCTGGTGCAGTACCACCTCCTGCTGCTGCTGCACTAGCTGCTGCAGCATTTGCTGCTGTAGCAAGGGGCCCCCCTCCTACCCTTTTATGGGTACAAAGGGGACTTTTTGCGCCTGTAGGGGGAGGTAGGGGGCCCCCCTTAAAGGAGAAATCAACAAGGGTATAGACAGTATTAGGGGGGAGGAGGGAGGAGACAATGTCTGCTATCTCTGGTAAGGAGGACTCAATAAGGATAAAAGGAGACACATTACCTGTCTCCTGCAGCAGCAGACTTAGATCCCTTATACGCTGCAGACGCAGCAAACGTGAACAACTTAGCAGCAAGGGGGCCCCTGCCCAGGGGGCCCCTGCAGATACTAATGAATAAAATAAAGAAGAACCCCATACCCATTTGTCCCTTGTCTCCTGTTGCTGATACTGCTGCTGTTGCTGCTGCTGTTGTTGTTGCTGTTGTTGCTGCAGTAATAGATCTATATCCTCCTCTTCTTCTTGCTGCTGTTGCTGATTATTGCTGCTGCTGCTGCTGCTGCTGCTGTAGGGTTGTGTATGTGCAGCAAGTGCTGCATGCAATCTATTAGAAGGGAATGCTGCTGCTGCTGCTGTCTGTACACTTGAATAAGGAGCAGCAAGCTCCGTAAGATGTACATGACCAGCAGCAACAGCAGCAAATAGGGCCCTCCTGCTGCTGTATATACGGTACTCTATACGTAGGGGGCCCCCCCCTGGTAATCTTTTTGCATAATTAAATGATAAAAGAGACACTGCTGCCTCTAGTACCCTAAAGGAGGTCCCACTAGGTTTAATAATTGCTCCTTTTTGCTGCTGCTGCTGCTGCTGTTGTTGTTGTTGCTGCTGCTGTTGTTGTTGTTGCTGTTGCTGCTGCTGCTGCTGTTGTTGCTGCTGAGGACGAGGAAGAGAACGAATTGCAGCAGGAAGATAACGTGTACCCACCAACCCCACCTTTATAACACCTTCCTTTAATACTGATGATAACATATCTCCTGCAGCAGCAGCAACAGCAACAGCAGCAGCAGCAGCAGCAGCATAAATATTAACAATACAGCAACAGCAAGAACACCAGCAGTAACAGCAGCAGCAGCAGCAACAGCAGCAGCAGCAGGAGGATAATGAATTTACCTTCAAGATCAGTAGGTACAGGTAATAAGAAAGGAACAGGAGGTCTAGGTCCCCCTAAGAAGAAAGGCATAAGAGGAGGAGGCTCTGCATGCAGCCCCAAATAACGACGTAAGGAAGGAAGCAAAGATTCAGATAAGGAACTCTCTAAGGCATACTTGAGCATATCATAACAATCTATTAGGCATAAAGAGGAGGAGGAGGAGGAGGAGGAGGAGGAGGGAGGGGAAGAGGAGGAGGAGGGAGGGGAGGAGGAGGAGGAGGAGAAGGGGAGAGAAGAGAAAGGAATTGATGAATATTTTGAATCAGAAGTTGTTGATGAATAAGGAGATGGATATAAAGAGGAAGAAGGAGAAGAAGATAAAGAAGAAGAAGGAGAAGGAGATAAAGAAGGAGATAAGGAGGAAGGAGGAGAAGGAGATAAGGAGGAAGACGGAGAAGGAGACAAAGAGGAAGAAGAAGGAGATGGAGAAAATGACGAAATTGGAGACGAAGACGAAAAATTCGTCGAAGACGAATTTGGAATTGGCGAATTAATTGGAGACGAATTCGTTGAAGACGAATTTGGAATTGGCGAATTAGTTGAAGACGAATTTGGAATTGTGGAATTAATTGGAGAGGAATTTGGAATAGTGGAATAAATTGGAGAGGAATTCGTTGAAGAGGAATTAATTGAAGAGGAATTAGTTGAAGAGGAATTTGGAATAGTGGAATTAATTGAAGAGGAATTCGTTGAAGAGGAATTTGGAATTGTGGAATTCGTTGAAGAGGAATTTGGAATAGTGGAATTCGTTGAAGAGGAATTTGGAATAGTGGAATTATTTGAAGAGGAATTTGGAATAGTGGAATAAATTGTGGTCGAATTGGATGGAGTTGAAGTCGAATTCGATTTATTACACAGCCTACCCGATTCGTCACAGTCCTCCTCTACTCCTTCTTGCTGCTGCTGCTGCTGCTGCTGCTGCTCTTTAGCTCCTGCTGCTGCTGCTGCTGCTGGTGGTGGTGGTGGAGCTGCAGCACGAGAAGGAGAAGAAGCAACAGGAGAAGGAGAAGGAGCTGAGGAAGGTGTACTACCCTGTTGTATCTTAATATTTCCTCTTCTCTTAGGGGCCCCTATTGATAAGGATAAGGACGAAGACTGTACCCTACTACGATCTATAGGAGGGGGGCCCCATGGATCTGTTGTTATATACACTATATCTACAGGGGGGGCCCCCATTGGTTCCTTAGTAGGAAGGGCAGGAAATAGGGTACGGGGGCCCTCTCCTCCTGAATCTGCTGCTGCAGCAGCAAATGGTATTGTTAATGTTGATACAACATTGAGGAATAGCAGCAGCAGCGAGAGCAGCAACAATAATAAATACCCATGATGCTGCTGCTGTTGCTGCTGCTGCTGCTGCAGCAAGAACTTTAATGACAAAGGAGGAAGGGAGGGGGCCCCCTGCAATTTAGAAGTTGGGGGCCCCCTTTGACGTCCCTGGGGGCCCCTAGCAGCAGTCATAGCAGGAGATAAGAAATAATAAATAAAATAAAAAAGGGTACTAAATATAATAATAAATAAGAATGGTTAATACACGCTGCAGCAGCAGCAGCAGCAACAGCAGCAACTGCAGCAACTGCAGCAGCAATAATATATAAATAGCAGCTATATACAAGCAGCAAACAGAAGGGGAGGGGGGGGCCCCCCCCAACAGAGACAAAACAAAAAGAAAAACAAATAAAAATAATAAATAAAAAAGAAAATAAAATAAATAAATAATAAAAAGAGACAAGAAAAGAAAAAAAGACCAGCAGCAAATTGCTGCTGCTGCTGCTGCTGCTGCTGCTGCTGCAGCAACACCAGAGCCCCAGCCGCCAAATGGAGCAACCGTAGCAGATCCTGCTGCTGCTGCTGTTGTTGTTGCTGCTGCTGTTACTGTTGCTGTTGCTGCTGCTGCAGCAACTGCAGCAGCAACAAGTGCAACACTAATTATTTCTTTATTTATAATTTAATTATAATACAACTATATATATAATGTGCAGCAGCAGCAGCAACTGCAGCAGCAGGAGCAGCAACTGCAGCAACAGGAAACTGCAGCAGCAGACAGCAGCAAACAGAAGATTGTATCGATACAACAGCAGCAACACAAACGACAATTTGTTAAACAAAACCTAAACCCTAAACCCTAAACCCTAAACCCTAAACCCTAAACACTAAACCCTAATTATTGTATTTCTTTCTATAAATCGTAAAGAGGTTAAACCCTTAAGTAGACACCGCATGCAGCAGCAGCAAAAGCAGCAGCAACAGCAGCAACAGCAGCAGTGGCAGTTCGTTTGTTTATTGTCTTTGCATGCAAGCCAAGGGCGGGGCTACCCGTGCATGCAAGCTGGGCTGTATTGCTGCTGCTCGTGCAGCAGCAGCAGCAGCTGCTGCTGCTACATAGTTTAGGATAGAGGTTCGTCTTACGGGGTTGCTAAACCCTAAACCCTAAACCCTAATTATACACTGCATAGTAACAACTACCGCCAATAGGGCGACTCGCGTACTCGTGCTCTAAACCCTAAACCCTAAACCCTAACTCTGTTGTTGTCTATCTTATATGTTTACAATTTTGTCTCTGTTTCTGTCTCCTTTGCTGCACCAGCAGCTGCTGCTGCTGCAGCAGCTGCTGCTGCTGCTACAGCAGCTGCTGCTGCTACAGCAGCTGCTGCTGCTACAGCTGCTGCTGTTGCTCCTGCTGCTGCAGCAGGAACGAAAAGACACAGGCAAAGGAGACACAACAGCAAAACCCTTATAATGCATGCAGCAGCAAAATAACACTGCAGCACAACAGCAGGCAGTCTCTGCTGCTGCTCCTGCTGCTGCTGCTGCTGCTGTTATTGCTGCAGTTGCTGCAAAATAGCAGCAACTGCATCCGCTGCTGCAACATCTGCAGCAGCTGCTCCTACCACTCCTGCTGCTGTTGCTGTTGCTGTTGCTGTTGCTGCTGCTGCTGCTGCTGCTGCTGATAGAATTACCATCTCTCTGTTGAGTGTGTATTAACTAGTGGGTGCATCTCCATGTGCTGTCTGCTGCTGCTGCGGCTGCTGCTGCTGCTGCTGCTGCTGCATCCAATAATTCTTCTAGATCCTAAGGGTCCTCCCCCTAATGCTGCTGCTACCCTGCTGCTGCTGCTGCTGCTGCTGCTGCTGCTGCTGCCAATTACAGCAGCAGCAGCATCAATAATTTTTTGCTTAATGTGTCTCCATTGGATACTTCTTGTTTGTATAAAATAGAGAAGAGACAGCAGCAAGATATAAATAGCAGCAGCAAGGAAGCAGCTTGCTGCTGCTTGCTGCTGCTGCTGCTGCTGCAGTTGGAGTGTATCTACATTAAATACAAAGACACAACCACAATAAATAAAAAATAATATTCCTGCTGCTAAGACACCCACCGCGCATGCATAACCCGTAGATATACCCATTCTCCTCCTGCTGCTGCTGCTGCTGTTGCTGTTGCTGTTGCTGCTGCTGTTGCTGTTGCTGCAGTTGATACAGGTTCTTGTATCTTTCCCTTCTCCTTCTGCTGCTGCTGCTGCTGCTGCTGCTGCAACAACAAAAACACCTTTTGCAGCCGTTTTTGTTGCTGCTGTCTCCGTGTATCTTGTATTCCTTTTTGTTGCTGCTGTTGCTGCTGCTGCTGCTGCAGGAGGAGGAGGAGGAATAAATTAATGTTTAATATAATGATTAAATATAAGATTAATTTGTTGATTAAATAATGGACATCTTAATGGCATATCTGTATCATAAAAAGGGTTTTTTAATCCGTAATCTGTATATGCTATATAAACCCTACGTAAAAACCCTAAACCCTCATCATTATTTATATATATAGATGTTATTAATATAAATCGTAAACCTATACACACAATAAATATATATTTATTTATTTATTTATTTATTTATTTATATTTATTTATTTATTTATTTTGTTTTTGCACTCTTTTCTACCTTTTATTTTATCTATTTATTACTATAAAAGATTTTTAGGGTTTAGGGTTTAGTAGGGTTTAGTAGGGTTTAGGGTTTAGATATAATAATAACTCCTGCTGCTGTTGCTGCTGTTGTTGTTGCTGCTGCTGCTGCTTCTTGTGTTATTTCTTACCAGTAGGTGTCTCAAGACAATGGAGATTAAATTGTGGTGTCTCAACTAGTACAATACCTTTTGCTGCAGCAGCAGCAACAGCAGCAGCAAGAGCAGCAACAGCAGGAGAAAGAAGGATAAAATTAAGACAGGGATGTATTGAGATTTGTTCGTGTTAGGTGAATTTGTGTAAGGGAATAGGCAGGATTTTATTTGCTGCTGCTGCTGTTGCTGTTGCTGCTGCTGTTGCTGCTCGTGCTTGTGGTGGTGCTGCTGTTGCTGCTACTGCTACTGTTGGTCGTGTCTTGCTGCTGTTGTTGCTGCTGCAGTAGTTGGTATATGTATGCATGCATGCATGTCAACTCTGCTCTGTTACTGCTCTGTTGCTGCTGCTGCTGTTGCTGATGCTGCTGTTGTTGTTGCTGATGCTGCAGTGGAGTCTGCTGCTGCTGCTGCAGCTGCTGCAGCAGCAGCAGCTGCTGCTGCAACAAGTCCAGCTTACCCTATGAAAGACTAGACTTCCGTTCTTGTTGTTTATAAACAGCGAGTACATCTTAACCGATGCAGCAGCAGCAGCAGCAGCAGCAGCAGTAGCTGCTGCTGCAGCAGCAGCAGCTGGCTGTTATAAGACAGGTAGCTGCAGACTGCAGCAGCAAAAAGGGAGAAAATAAATATAAATAAAAAGCAACAAAGCAAATAATAATTGGGGCTTTTTTTTATATTATATACACCCTTTTGCATGCATTATATTCAGGTGTACAGACAGGCCAGCTGGGGCTGCTGCTGCTGCTGTTGCTGTTGCTGCTGCTGCTGTTAGACACATGCAACAGCAGCAGCAGCAACAGCAACAGCAGCAACAGGAGAGAGAGCTAGGTTTCTGCAGGGGAACCTCCCCTTTTATTATTTATTTATTTATTTATCTATTTATTTATTTTATTATTTATTTATTTATTTATTTATTTATTTATTTATTTATTTATTATTTTATAGTAATTGTATAAAGACAATAGTACATAACGCATGCAGACAGCAGCAGCAGCAGCAGCAGCAGCAGCTGTAGCAGCAGCAGCAGCAGCAATAACAGCAACAGTAATTAACATGTATTGATGGATACACAGAAACAATTAAACACTTTCTCCCTTCCCCTTAGCAACAAACCCTAAACCCTAAACCCTACACCCTAATCGCTAAACCCTAAACCCTAAACCCTAATTCGTTACGGACAGACCGGTGGTTGTAGATAGACATAAACCCTAAACCCTAAACCCTAAACCCTAAACCCTAAATATATATTATATATTATTATTTAGTATTAATTTTCTTTAACGAAAACCCTAAACCCTAAACCCTAAACCCTAATTATATGATAATTATACAGAGACAGGACTGTCTCCTTTTTTTTTTTCTCCTTTTTTTTTTGTCTCCTTTCTTCCTTTTATTATATCTATATCTGTCTCTAATTAGATATCTATCTCTCTGTGTTTGTTTTGCTGCTGTTGCTGCTGCTGTTGCTGCTGCACTAACAGCAGCAGCAGCAGCAGCAAACAGCTGGCAGTTTTCTTAGCCGCATGCATACTAAACCCTAAACCCTAAACCCTAATTTGTAAACCCTAGCAGATGCTCAGGCATTTGTTAGAGACAGTAAGAAAAGAAAAACATGCATATTGATTTGCTGCAGCAGCTGCTGCTGCTGCTGTTGCTGCAGCAGTCACTGCTGCTGCTGCTGCTGCAATTGCTGCAGTAGATGCTATTGAAAAAAAAACTAGTAAGAAAGGTGCAGCAACAAGAAATAAATACATCTGCTGCTGCTGCTGCTGCTGCTCTTGATGCTGCTGCTGCTGCTGTTGCTGCTGCTAAATGAGCAGCACATTGAATATAAATATTTAAATTGTCTCCTATTGTCTCCTTTTAGCAGCAGCAGCAGCAGCAGCAGCAAATAAATAAATAATAACAAAGAGCTGAGGTGTATATACACCTTAACGAAGGAAAGAAGGGAAAGGGGGAGGGGCTAAGGGAGCAGCAACAAGCCCAGGTTGCTGCTGCTGCTGCAGCGGCTGCTGCAGTGGCTGCTGCAGTGGTTGCTGCAGTGGTTGCTGCAGCGGCTGCTGCTGCTGCTGCTGCTGCTGCTGATTGCTTCCTGCAGCAGCAGGAGGAGGAGTTCCGAAGGGAGAGGAGATAGGGTTTGTAGATGGACCATCTGTAACAAACACTAAACCCTAAACCCTAAACCCTAAACCCTCGAGAGGCTAAACCCTTTATGTCTACCTGCTCGCTAAACCCTAAACCCTAAACCCTAAACCCTAGCCTATAGGCTTACTTGAGCGATGCGCAGCTCCCCATCCATTGGGCAGCGGCGAGGGTTTAGCAGCAGTACCCTCTAAGGTGGGCCCCAAGGGAGTTGCGGCAGGAGGCCCCAAGGGAGTTGCTGCAGGGGGGCCCCCCTGGGGGCCCCCAAAAGGGTTTACATACATTCGTCTCCTGTCTAGGCCTGCTTCCCTTGTTGCTGCTGCAGTGCATGCAGCAGGAGGTGCTGCTGGTGGCGGGGGAGGAGCTTGCTGCTGCTGTTGCTGCTGCTGCTGCTCCTCCGCTAGGTCAGCCTCTGACTCCTTTCCTGCAGCAGAACACAGCAGCAGCAGCAGCAGCAGCAGCAGCAGCAGCAGCAGCAGCAGCAAATGCCCATTCATCTCTTCGTCGCTGTACCTATCTTTCTTTATAGCAACAACAGCAGCAAAAAGAAACAGCAAAACACGATCATCACCACCAGCAGCACCCCCACCAGCAGCACCCCCAGCAGCAGCAACAGCAGCAACAGCAGCAACAGCAGCAGCAGCAGCAATTATACCTCTTTCTTCCCATCTTTTTTTTTCTGTATTATAATAGAAAGTATTAGCGACGCCAATTTCTTTTTCTTCTCCCCCTAAGACAGCTTTCTTTAGGCCTACAAACATACCCCCTAGCCAGCTGCTGCTGCTGCTGCTGCTGCTGCTGCTGCTGTTGCTGCTGTTGAAGGGCGTTGGAGAGGTGCCTGTAGGTGAGCTGCTGCTGCGGCTGCTGCTCGTGCTTAGACCTGTCCCTCTTGTACCACCACTAACAGACTCTTGCTGCTGCTGCTGCTGCTGCTGTTGCTGCTGCTGCTGGATACGTTCCCGTCGTAATTGGGTAAGGATGCTGTCTTGTTGTCGCAGCAAGGAGTTCTGCTGCTGCTGCTGCACTTGCTGCAGCTGCTGACGCAGCAACTCACGTAGCTGCTGCGGCACTTTTACCTGCGGCTGCGCCCTCAGGGAAGCAGCAGCAAATTCACAATACCTCTCCGCCTGCAGCAGCAGCAGCAGCAGAAACAGCAGCAGCAGCAACGGAGTGCATGCAATGTCGCCAATACAAGAAGCACCAGAAGCACCGGGAAGAAGCAGCAGCAGTAGCAACAGCAGCAGCAGCAGCAGCAGCAGCAGCAGCAGCAGCAGCAGCAAGTACGCACCTGTTTAAGGAGACCGAACTCCGCTAGAAGAGAAGCAAAACGAACTTTGTAAGGAATCAGGTGTACGTACACCCACTGCAGCAGCAGCAACAGCAGCAGCAACAGCAGCAGCAACAAAAAAGCAAACAAACGCTAATATAGTGTACCTTTGTACCACAAAGGTACAGACAGCAGCAAAGACAGCTGCAGCACCAGCAGCAACTACGGCAGCAACAACAAATGCAGCAGCAGCAGCAGCAGCAGCAGCAACAGTACAGACTTGTGGGTTTTGTATACGAAGAATATATTCAAATGTTTCTGTTAATATTAACTGCTCAGCCTCCTGCAGCAAATCCGATCCAGGGCAGCCACCTGCAGCAGCAGCAGCAGCAGCAGCAGCAGCAGCAGCAGCAGCAGATCCAGCAGCAGCATTAGTAGCAGCAACAACGCATGATGGTAGCAGCAGCAGCAAAGATGTGCATGTATACAGGGAGGTCAATAAAATAGCCTACGTCACCGGAAGAACAGCAGCAGCAGCAGCAGCAGCAGCAGCAGCAGCAGCAGCAGCTACTGCAGCAGCAGCAACAGCAGCCGCTGCAACAGCAGCAGCAGCAACGAAGGCCTACCTAGAAGCTTGATATGATCTGCTGCATCTTCTTTAGGTGTCTCTCCTGCTAGCAGCAGCAGAATTTGTGCTGCATGCATAGCCCCACAAGGTGCTGCTCTTGCTGCTGCTGCAGGGTCTTGCTGCTGCAGTGCATGCAATGCAAGCCCCAACTGCAGCAGCTGCTGCTGCGTTGCTGGGTGATTGAGGCCTAGCGTGCTGCAGCAATTTGCTGCTACAAACAACCAACCGCGCAGAGCATCTGCACACACAGCAGCAGCAGCAGCAACAGCAGCAAAGGTAAGAAACAAACATCCATATGCATGCATGCAACCTCTGCATGCATGGACGCATGCATGCATGCATGCATGCATGCGTACTAACCTGGATGGGGCTGGTTATTGATAGATCTGCTTTGTGCACGATAGAGAGACTCAAGGGCTGCTATCCATACACTGCATGCGCCTCCTCTACAGCACTCTGCTGCTGCTGCTGCTGCTGCTGCTGCTTCTGTTGCTGCTGGTGGTGGTGCTGCTGCTGCAGCAGAAGGAGGACGAAGAGTGTCAGCTAGAGCAGCAACAGCCTCGTCTATTGCTGCTGCTCCTGCTGCATTTGCTACTGCTAATGCATGCGCATGCAGCCCCAAAGCAGCAGCAGTTTTTGCTGCACCTGCTGCATCACCGCAGCACAGCTGTCGCCCCACAGCCCCTAGACCCCCACAGGAGCAGCTGCTGCTGCTAAGCTGCTGCTGCTGTTGCTGCTGCTGCTGCTGGGCCTCAAGAGCTTCTGCTGCAGCAGGAAGCTCATTCTTAGGAAAGAGACGATGTGCTGCAGCAGACATGTCTCCGTTGTGCTGCAGCAGCAGCAACAACAGCTGCCACAGACCCGCTGCCTGTACAGCACACACCTCCCGCTGCTGTTGCTGCTGTTGCTGTTGCTGCTGCTGCTGCATGCGCACGCGAACAGCCTTCTTAAGAAAGGAGACAAGTGCTGCAGTAGTGCGAGGGTCCGAGGCCCCTAGGGGCCCCGGGTACTCCAGCAGCAGCTGGCACAGCACCGCAGCAGGTGTTGCAGCAGGACCTGCAGCAGCAGCAGCAGCTGCTGCTGCTGCAGGAGCAACAGCAGGGGAGCTCTCTGCAGCAGCAACCAGCTGCATTGTGCTGCAGCAGCTAACGGAGGTCCCCCTAGCAACAGCAAACAATCCGCTGCTGCTGATGGCAAAAGGAAGCCCCTGTGGCCCCACACCATGTGCTGCTGCTGCTGCTGCTGCTGTTGCTGCTGCTGCTGCTGCAGGAGACACACTATGGTGTATGTAGACCTTATCATGTTCTCCTGCTGCAGGAGCTTCTCCTGTTGCTGCTGCTGCTGCTGCACCTGTGCTAGGCGTGCTCAGCTCTTGCTGCTGCAGCAGGGGAAATGGTACTGTTGCTGTAGCTGCTGGTGACGCTGCTGCTGCTGCTGGTGATACTGCTGCTGCTGCTGGAGATACTGCTGCTGCTGCTGGTGATACTGCTGCTGCTGCTGGTGATACTGCTGCTGCTAGTGGTGATACTGCTGCTGGTGTTGCTGCTGCTGCTGCTCCTGCAGCTGCTGCAGCTGGAGGGATTTGAGGTAAGGAGGCTGCGGCAAAGAAGGGGTCTGTAGCAGGAGGTGCAGCAGCAGCAGCAGCAGCAGCAGCAGCAGCAGCAGCAGCAGCAGCAGCAGCAGGTGCTGCTGCTTCTGGAGGTGCTGCTGCTGCAGGTGCTGGTTCTGCTTCTGCAGGGGATCTGTCTGTCAACATCCCCCACGCTGGCTGCTGCTGCGGCTGCAACTGGTGCGGCATTTGCTGCTGCTGCTGCTCGTGCTGCTGCTGCTGCGGCTGCTGCAGCTCATTTTGTGTTTGCTGCTGCTCTTGAAGCTGCTGTGCCGGTTGCTGTTGCTGATCCATAAAGAACGAAGGGAAGGGAGGAGGCTGCTGCTGCTGCGGCTGCGGCTGCTGCGGCTGCTGCTGCTGCGGCTGCTGCTGTGGCTGCTGCTGCTGCGGCTGCTGCTGGTCAGGTGCAGCAGCAATATAAGGAGACGGTGCTGCAGAAGACACTTCCTCTGAGGCATTAAAAGGAACAGGAGGAGCTGTTGCATCTGCTGCTGCTGCACCTGCTGCTGCTGCTGCTGCTGCTGCTGCTGCTGCTGCTGCTGCTGCTGCAGGAGGCGGCATCTGCCCCCCATCTGAATCCTCAAAGAGCCAAGCTGGATCTTCCTTCCAAGGAGACACTGCAGCAAAAGGAGACACAAAAAGGAGACACAAAAGGAGACAATAAAAGGAGACAATAAAAAAAAAGGAGACACAAAAAGGAGACACAAAAAGGAGACACAAAAAGGAGACACAAAAGGAGACAATAAAAGGAGACAGGGGACAGGCAGCAGCAAACCAGGAAGTTGAAGCAGCGACAGCAGCAAATGCAGCACCAACAACAGCAGCAGCAACAACACTAGCAGCAGCAGCAGCAGCAGCAGCAGCAGCAAACACACCCGGTGCCGTGGGCTCGTCTATCCCCACATCGGAGACACAAGGAGAAAAAGGTGACGGCGCAGGCTGCTGCTCCTGCTGCTGCTGCTGCGGCTGCTCCAGTTGCTGCGGCTCCTGTTGCTGCGGCTGCTGCTGCACCTCCGGCTGCTGCTGAAGGAACTGTGGCACCGGCATTTCCTGCTCCTGCTGCTGCAGCTGCTGCTGCTCTTGCTGTTGCTGCTGCTGCTGCTGCTGCTCTTGTACTTCTGCGTCGTGCTGCTGCACTTGCTGCTGTATTTGCTGCGCCTGCTTCAGCAGCAGCTTATGGAAGTCGTCATCCTGCTGCTGCAACTGCTGCTGCCGCTGCTGCTGCTGCTGCTGTTGCCGTTCTTGCTCGGGTTGTTGCTGCAGCTGCAGCTGCTGCAGCACTGGCGACGGCTGCTTTTGCTGCTGTAACTCCTCTGTTGTTTGCTGCATGTCTTGAGGCTGCTGCTGCGCTGGATGCGGCTGTGGCTGCTGCTGCTGCTGCTGCTGCTGCTGCTCGTTTGCATCTGGCCACAAAAAGGGTCTAGGCTCCTCTGCCAGCTGCTGTTGCTGCGGCTGCTGCGCCTGCTGCTGCTGCGGCGGCTTCTGCGGCTGCTGCTGCTGAATTTCAAACGTGGGAGGAAAAGGCTGCTGCTGCTGCTGCTGCTGCTGCTGCTGCTGCTGCTCTGAGGTGTCCCACAGATCTTCAAAGGCCCGACGACGCTGCTGCTGTTGCTGCTGCTGCTGTTGCTGCTGCTGTTGCTGTTCCTCCGTGGTGTGCTGCTTGTGCTGCTCTTGCTGCTGCCAGGGCTCAGTGAGTGGCTGCGCCTCGGGCTGTTGGGCTTCTTGCTGCTGTTGCAGTGGCTGCTGCAGCGGCTGCTGCATTGGTGGCTGCTGCATTGGTGGCTGCTGCTGCTGCTGCTGCATTAGTGGCTGTTGCTCTGGTACATGCTGCTGCTGCTGCTGCTGCTCCTTTTGTTGCTGCTCGGGCTGCTGCAGCGCCAATGGGGGCTCCGCTTGCTGCTCCTGCTGCTGTTGCTGCAATTGCTGCTGTTGCTGCTGTTGCTGCTGTTCCGGTGGTTGCTGCGCCTTCTGTTGCTCCTGTTGCTGTTGCGGCTGCTGCTGTTGCTCCGGTTGCTGCTGCTCCTGTTGCTGATTCTCCTGCTGCTTCTTCTGCGGCTCTTCCGGATGCGGCTGCTGCGGTTGCTGCTGCTGCTGCAGTTGCTGCTGCTGCTGCTGCTGCTTATTTGTAGCATTGGATTCAAAGGAAGAAGCAGCAGAGAGTCTCCCTGTCTCCCCTGCATGCAGTCTCTCTGCTAATTGTTTAATTTGCTGCTGCTGCTGCTGCAGTTGCTGCTTCAGCAGCTGCTGCTCCTGCAGCAGCTCCTGCGACGGCGGCAAGCTGCTGCTGCTGGGGGAGGTTTCCTTCTGCTGCTCCTGCAGCAGCTGCTGCTGCTGCTGCAGATGCTGCTGCAACTGTTGTTGCTGCTGCTGCAGCTGCTGTTGCTTCAGTTGCTGCTGATGCTGTTGCTGCAGTTGCTGCACCTGTTGCTGCAGCAGACCAGCCTGCAACTGTTGCTGCTGTTGCTGCTGCTGCTGCTGCAGCGAGGGCATGAGGGTCAGAGGAACAGGCGGAGCTGCCCCAGGGAGAGTACTAGCAGCAGGAGATGTGTAGCTGCTGCTGCTGCTGTTGCTGCTGATGCTGTTTCTTCCTACGGGCAGCCTAGCAAAGGGATTAGGGGGTACATACAGCTGAGGGAGGGGCCCCACACTTAGCTGCCTCTTGGGGGCCCCCTTGAGTAGCCCCTCTATACTGCCTGAACCCGATGACAGCAGCTGCCGCTGCTGCTGCTGCTGTTGCTGCTGCTGCTGTTGCTGCTGCTGCTGCTCACTGGTGCTGTTTATGCTGCTGTTGCTAGAGAAGGCAAGAGAGGGGTTTGGGGGCCCTGCTGCAGCAACTGCTGCGTTAATGTTTCCCAGTGCAGCAGCAGCAGCAGCAGCTTGCTGTTGCTGCTGCTGCTGCCGTTGCTGTTGCTGCTGCTGAGTTCCCCCAAGCAGCATCTGCCCTAGGGGAGGCAGCAGAGGGGGTGCGCCTGCATGCGCTGCAGCAGACTCAGGCAGCAGCTGCCCGAGACTTCCCTGCATGGGGGTGGCAGTCACGGAGGGGGCCCCCAACCCACTTAGGGGCCCTCCTTGGGGGCCCCCTGTACCATCAGCAGCAGCTAATGGCAGCATAGGCGATAGAACAGCAGCAGCAGGAGAGGTAGTGACAGAAACAGAGGGAAGGGTCTGCATGCCCGTGGGGCCCCCCAATCCAGGTGCTGCTGCTCCTGCTGCTGCTGCTGCAGGTCCTGCTGCTGCTGGTTGCCCCGTTATCTGGGTAGAGGAAGCAGGAGGGTTCAATGCAACACAGGGGGCCCCCCCTTGGGGCTGCAGCTGCTGCAGCTGCTGCAGCTGTTGCAGCTGCTGCAGTTGCTGCAGCTGCAGAGCAGCAGATGGTTGTACCCCTGCTGCTTGCTGGGGTTGGAGGGCCCCTCGGGGGCCCCCCACAAGACTACCCATATCGAAGGATTGAGCAGGAGATAAAGACATCGCTAAGGAGGGTACAGTACCCATTAAAGAGCCAGATCGCTGTAGGGGCCCCTGGGGGGCCCCCCCAAGGGAAGCAGGAGAAGGAGAGACAGATAAAGGTGCCACAGGTAAACCCCCTACCCCTTGGGGGGCCCCCGTGAGGCCCCCTTGGGATACCCCCGTAAGGGCCCCGGAGGAGGCCCTCGAGAGGGACCCTTGGGGGCCCACCGATAGGGCCCCAGAGGAACCCCTTGAGAGGGTCCCCGGGGGGGCCCCTCCTAGGGCCCCCGTAAGGGCCCCCTGTAGAGGAGCAGGAGGGAGGGAGAGGACTTGCATTGCTGCAGCAGGCACACCCATAGCAGCATCTGCTGCTGAGAGTGAGGGGCCCCCAGTACCCAATGCAGGGCCTGTTGCAGTGATAGTGGGGGCCCCACTAGATATGGGGGCCCCTGCTGCAGTGATCTGGGACCCTACTGCAGACAGAGGGCCAGCTACAGCAGCCAGGGGCCCCCCGGCTGGTGGTAGAGGGGACCCTGCTGTTGGTAAGGGGGCCCCTGCAGCTGGTAGGGGGCCCCCAGCTGGTGGAAGGGAGGCCCCAGCTGCTGGAAGAGGGCCTGCTACTGATGGAAGAGGGGCCCCTGCTGCTGTTAAGGGGGCCCCTGCTGCTGCTAAGGGGGCCCCTGTTGCTGCTAAGGGGGCCCCTGCTGCTTGTATAAGGGGGCCCTGATTAAGAAGCTGCATTGGGTATATGTATAATAAAGGGTTAAATAAAGGGGGAAAAGGGTTTGTCTGCTGCAGCAGGAGGCCCCTACCTCTCGGGTGTATAGGCAGCTGCTGCAGGCTTGCTGCTGCTTTTGCTGCTGCTGCCTGCTGCTGTATAAATAAAATATAAAAGACACACACTTTATTGTATAGAATAAATATATAAATAAAACAATACATAAACCCTAAACCCTAAACCCTAAACCCTAATCTTTTAAGGCCCGCAGGCAGCACGACAGCAACGGGAGGCCCCATATATAGACAGCTGCAGCTGCAGCTGCAGCAGCAGCACGACCTGCTGCTGCTGCTGCTGCTGCTGCTGCATGCAGACAATTGCTTCTAAAGAAATATCTTTTTATATAAACAAATCCTTATACAAAAGCAGCAACAAAACAAACAAACACCGCCGCTAACTCTCCTGCTGCAGCAGCAGCAGCAACAACAACAACAGCAGCAGCAGACACACGTCAACAGCAGCAGCAGCAGCAGCAGCAACAGCAGCAGCAGCAGCAGCAGCAGGCCTATTTGCTGCTAAGATGAGGACCCCTTTCCTCTATTTTAGGAGGGACTCTCTGCTCGTACAGTGCGCAGTTGCTGCATGCATGTGGTGGGTACTAACTGCAACACACAAACAGCAGCAGCTGCTGCTGCATCTGCTGCTGCTGCTGCAGCTACTGCTGTAGCAGCATTAGAAGCATTACTAGCAGCAGCAGCAGCAGCAGCATTCGCAGCAGCAGCAGCTGCTGCTGCTGCTGGTGATACTGTAGAGTTGCACACGGGAGGGTTTCGTGCAAGACGAGCGAACAGCCACAGCCAGTTGTTGCTGCTGCTGCTGCTGCAGCAGCCCTTCCTGCTGCTGCTGCTGCTGCTGCTCTTTCTGCCGCAGCAGAATTTGCTGCTGCCTGTGCAGCAATTGCTGTCGTTTGTGTATGCGGGCTTTATTGATATATGCCGTGTGTGCTGCTGTGTTTGCTGCTGCTGCTGCTGTTGCTGCTGTTGCTGCTGCTGCTGCTGCTGCTGCTGCTGCTGCAGGTATATACCACAAGATATTGCTGTATTGACGGCTTTATATTGGCGAGAGAGGCAGGTAAACAAACACGAATAGTGTCTCCTTTTTTGTCTCCTTTTTTGTCTCCTTTTTTATTGTCTCCTCTTTTATTATTTATTATTTATTATTTATTTATTATTTATTATTTACTTATTATTTATTACTTAATTATTATTTATTATTTATTTATTATTTATTATCTATTTATTATTTATTTTTTAGAATTTTAGGGTTTAGGGTTTAGGGTTTGGGGTTTAGGGTCTAGGGTCTAGGGTTTAGGGTTTAGGGTTTAGGGTTTATATTATGTATATGCAGTTAGGTCGTCGTCATTGCGGTGTATATCCATCAAGTGTCTCCTTAGAGGATAATTTATCTTCTTTTCTTGCTAAGAAAAAGGGACACTTTTGTGTCTCTTATAGAGGAAAAGATATATTCTTATCTATTAAGCAATAATATAAATAAATAAATAAATAAATAAATATATATAATATATATATATAT